CTCGTTTGTTGTCCTCTTCTCTCTCTCTGCCTACGGTTTTACCGGGCAGTTCTGTTTGTGACGATATATATATATATATATTTGACGATATATAGAATATATATATATTTTTTTAACTCCCCCTTCACCGCGCCTCTCACGTACAAGGCTCGCCACGTTGATGAAGTTGAGTGCGAGCTGCCCCCATCTACGTGTACCATAACGGTCCACTTGTACGCTGTGAGAAAGAGGCAGAGTGAAGGGGGGGGGGATAAACACAGGGAGGAGAGATGGAGAGCAGACAAACAAAGAACGATAAAAGGAAAGTAAGGGAAAGTACAGAGTGTGGAGGCTCAAGAATGAGTCTGTCCTTGGCGACAGAGAGGACATACATTGTAAGGATGAGGTGGATGAGCACACTAGCTGATCATTCTCAGTGCAACAATTGCCACGACGGCTGGCATTGAGCATGCCCACCATACACCCCCGAAAAATGGCATGTCAATTGCAGGCCAAAATGAAGGAAGAATGGTCACCACAAAAGACCATGCATTCAGTATAGCGCCCATGGCCGCAAAATGGACATATAGTGTCTGGATGTGGAGGATGCCAGCAGTCAGGAACGGAGGGACAATCCTGTGCACAGATGGATGCAGAAACCATGTCATTCTGGTGATTGTGACAGAGACGATGACAATTACAACCGAGTGTAACAGTAGTTGTGGCTGCGCGAAGGAGAAGGTCGCATAATGTTGGTACATTATTTTGCTGTAGCATGGGGCCAGAGGAATGATCTTCGACATAAAAGAGATTGGGGACGGTTTGTTGTGGCAAAAAAACAACATCATTTTGTAAGAAATGAGTGACATCAGTCATGGCATGGACCATGGTGCCGTTGTCCCACAGCTCCTTGTGGTCAGAGGCATGCACAATGGCCATGTAATGGCCAGGCCCGTGCGCAATGCAGACAGAGATGTGGGATGGAGGATTAAACCACTCACCTGCTCGAGCATTGCGTAGTTCAAGTTGACGGTACCTCATTGCTACTTGTAGGACAGCAATGGTAAAGCCTCCTTCGCAGGTATAATCACAATCCTCTGGCTGTAGTTGGGGAAAATCAGCATCAGGCTGAAGGGCGATTGCAAGTAAGTCTGATGGTGTATAGAATGGGCGGTGGAGAATGTGAAGACAAATATTAGTTGTCGTCAGACCACACACACACACACACACACACACACACACATATATATATATATATATATATATATATATTGTCACATAACTATGAACTAAAATAGCGCAATTTGCGAAACAAACGAAAAAAATGAAGGGCACAGTGAAACCATTCATTTTACTCATTCTTCTTTTGACTCTCCTTTCACCGTGCCTCTCACGTACAAGGCTCGCCACGTTGATGAAGTTGAGCGCGAGCTGCCCCCATCCCCGTGTGCCATAACAGCCCACTTGTACGCTGTGAGAAAGAGGCAGAGTGAAGGGGGAGGGGATAAACACAGGGAGGAGAGAGATGGAGAGCAGACAAACAAAGAACGATAAAGGGAAAGTAAGGGAAAGTATGGAGTGTGGAGTGAAGATGAAGGCAAAAGAGGATAAGAAAAGGCTCAAGAATGAGTCTGTCCTTGAGGACAAAGAGGACAAAGATTGTAAGGATGATGTGGATGAACACATGGAAGACCTAGCTGAGCATTCTCAGTGCAACAATTGCCACGACGGGTGGCATTGAGCATGCCGGCCATACACCCTCGACAAATGGCATGTCGATTGCAGGCCAAAATGAAAGAAGAACGGTCACCACAAAAGAGCATGCATTCAGTATAGCGCCCATGGCCGCAAAATGGACATATAGTGTCCGGATGCGGAGGGTGTCTGCAGTCAGGAACGGTGGGACAGTCTGCACACATGGATGCAGAAACCATGTCATTGTAGTGACTGTGACAGAGACGATGGCGGCTACAGCCGAGTGTAACAGTGTTTGTGGTTGTGCAAAGGAGAAGGTCGCAGAGTGTTGGTGCATTGTCTTGCTGCATCACGGGGCCAGAGGAATAATCTTTGACATAAAAGAGATCGCAGACGGTTTGTTGTGGCAAGAAAGCAACATTATTTTGTAAGAAATCAGTGACATTAATCATGGCATGGACCATGGTGCCGCTGTCACACAACTCCCAGTGGTTAGAGGTATGTACAATGGCCATGTAATGGCCAGGGCCGTGCACACGATGTGTGATGGAGGATTAAACCACTCACCTACTCGAGCATTGCGTAGTTCAAGTTGACGGTCCCTCATTGTTACTTGTAGGACAACAATGGTAAACCCTCCTTCGCTGGTATAATTGCAATCCTCTGGCTGTCGTTGGGGAAGATCAGCATCAAGCTGAAGGGCGATTGCAAGGAAGTTTGATAGTGTATAAAACGGGCGATGGAGAATGTGAATACAAATATTAGTTGCTGTCAAACCACAGAGATTGGTGAGGTTCTCAGACTGGTTTGTTGGATGCTGGCCAACAATTTGCAGATCACCCAGATGGTGTTGCAAGCTCAAACTGTGTTGGGTTGTTTGCTGGTCAGTCATTTGCAGATCATCCATGTGGTTTGCGTGTGGCGGAGCACAAAATTGTGTTTCATCCGCACAATGCTGGTCAGCCATTTGCAGATCCCCCATGTGGTCTACACCTTGTGGGGTCAACTGCGATCCGGACAGATCATGTTCCAATCCCTCAATGTTTAGGGCTGCATCCTGAGTAGGGACTATACCTGGAGTCGGGAGTGTACTCTGGGCAGCGGCTGCATCCTGAGTAGGGACTGGTGGCTGCCTGCAGGCAGATGGACTGTTTGCAGGAGTCATAGGAGCGGATATTGTCGTTTGAAACAAAGGAACCGCAAGAACCTGTGGACGAGGCACAAACAGAATCGGGGCAGACAAAGAAACTGGTTGCTGATCCCCGGACAAGTGACGATGCCACGGATGTCGTCGGTGATACACAACAAGAGGAGTAGTGGTGTTGCAAACAGAAGCTGAACTCGTACCTAGCAACGCAGGTGGAACAATGGGGACTACTCTCGAAATGTGCAAAATGAGACTGAATCCACGGCTAGAGCACGGAAAGATACATTGCCATCTTGTTTGTCTTTTCTGCTTGTGGAGAGTAGTGCAGAGGGGCCCTATGGGGGTTTGGGCCTCGCTCCACTGCTCACCAAATGTGCAAAATGAGAATGAATCTTCCTCTAGAACGTGGAAAGATACACCACCATATGTTATCGTTTGTGCATGTGGTGAGCAGTGGAGGGATGCTGTGTGCCCGCTCTCCAAGGGAAACCAATTTTTTTTTTGTTTTTTTTGTTCTTTTTTTTCTTGTTTTTGGCAGAAGGGCATGACTGTGTCCTCTTAATTCGTGTGTACCTTCCCTGGATTGGACGCTCGTACATTCCAGCAAAAGACAAAAGACATCAACAGAAAAGAAAAACTGAAACGGATATGCCATTTTAAGGGAAACAACAGTGCCTGCAACTCCCATTCGGTGAGTGGGAGTTTTTCCCCTCCCACTCACCACCTTCCCCTGTCCAAGTCCCGATGATAAAAGCGGCCGTCTTTCCTCCCCCCCTTGCGGGGCAAAATCCTCATTCGTGGTATTTGCCCCGCCAGGTATAGGGGCATCACTATTGCTTGACGTGTGCACTATTGCAATGCATGTACCTGGGCAGGGTAGAAGAAGTTAACGTTCGCTTCGCTTCCCAGTTAGGCCACAACTTCCAGGGGGCAGTTTGACAGAACAGAAACGACGGGGTGTGAATTCGGACAGGGTTTCGTCTGACCATGGGGCTGTACCAGCAATGAATACCATGGGAACAGACATGAGTCTTCACATGCCCATGGCTCAGGGCGCAGGCACCTCCAACGGGTCAGAGAATCCAGGGGGGATTCCAGGAAGACTCACAGGGCCTAGCCCTAGACAGGGCAATGATGGCACTTCGAACAATCTAGATTGGCAAAATTTCTCACCACATTGGGCAAGGCAGGTTTCAACTGCACAAGGAATAGGATGTAACAGAGAGGGAGAAGAACAGGGTACACAACGAATGCAGGGTTTTCAGGGGCAAGCAGGAGGCCGTGTAGGTGATGGGGGAGAGGGAAGAGGTGAGAGAAGAAGTGAGGGAGGGAGAGAAAGAGGAGGCATTCAAGGAGGAGGGGGAGGGGGGAGCCAAGGTCCTAGGCATGGGGGGAGAGGAGGAGGAAGGAACGGAGGGGGAGGAAAGAGGAAGCAGGTGCAGCAGAAGAAAGAAGCGGGTGGGGGGAAGAATCGGATGTACCCTCCCCATGTGGATTGGTGGCCAGTGGAAAATCTTTCTGACGAAGAGGACAGCATGGAAGGGATAATCACGGAAGGCGGTAGGGAAGGCGGACAAAGTGATTGTGCAGAAGGAGGGCCGCAAGGTGGAGAAAACGGGAGTAATGAAAATGTGGTGGAAGAAGTTAGGCGTATGCTTGAGAAATGTTTCGACCGTATGGTGATTCTGGATATTCCTAAGTTCGCCAAGTTCAAAACGGAAGGGAACACAGTGAGTATGTCACTTCCCCCTGTGGTGGAACAGACGCAGATCGAATGGATGAAGGAGAACGCGGTGGTAGTTTTCTTTCAAGGCAAGTTTAAGTCAGTGTCAGCAGACAGGAAAGAGGAATGTATCAGAGGTTTTGAGGACTCCATCCTCCCGCATAATGTTCATCACAAGGACAGGGGGAGAGTTCATCTGGAGGGTAGGAACGTGATGTCCTACTTCCCACGGGACAAAAAAAATGTTGACCTCATGCTCAACATTCAAAGCCACAAAATCAAAATCGACAATACCACCTACAAGCTCACCTTCAAGAGATGGACGACGCAAGGGGAGTTAGAGTCGGTGAGGATGTTAGAGAAGTTAGTAAGATATGGGTCATGGTTTTGAGGGTGCCCTGGGTGGCAGTGACGTTTGTAAGGTCTTAACTTGATCATGCAGTAGGACAGACTGCTAAACAGTACCCACCGGAAAGGTACGAAGAGTCGCCAAAATTGAACAATGTCAAATTTGACATTTACAGGGATCAGTTAGACAAAGTCCCTGTTTTTTTGACATGGACACAGCTAGACGGCAGGGAGATTAAACTGCAGGTAGTCACTCAACTCACGGACTGGTGCCCGATGTGTCGGGATTATGGGCACAAGTCAGAATCATGCCCGAGATCAATTCAGGTAAACACTCTTGAACAGAGAACGATCGGGGACGGTGGAGTGCCAGAATTCTGTCCAGTTTCAGTGCTTGCCCCGGGAGGCTTACGAGCAGGGGCAGGGTGGAATGGTAACATAGTCCAACAGGGTTCGTCGTCCACCCGCTCCCAAACGGACCCACCCTTTGGAGCTCAAAACGGAGGGGGAAAGTTTCCCCCCACCACCCCTTTTCGTTTTAATGCAGGAGGGGCTGTGGTCGGAGCGGCTGTGGTTGGAGGGACAGTGGGGAGGCGTTCGGAAGGAAGAGGTGATGGAGGGGGGAAGGGCGGCATTGGGAGTTACAGTGGTGGAAAAGGGGTAGTTGGTGGGGGGATGGGAGGGGGGTCAGGAGGCTTTTGGAGGGGATTTCAGCATAAGGGGGGGGGTAAATTGGGGCAATGACGGGGTACGGGGGAAAGGGAGGGGAACGCAGGAGGAGTTGAGGGAATGGACCCCCAAGTCAAACGGGGGACAAGGAGGAGGAAGGGGGGGCAGGGGAGAGGGGGACCCAGGGGGACCAGGGGGAGCAGGCGGTAGTCGAGGAGGAGAGGGAGGGGGGGGAGGTGG